CTTGATGAACCCCCTTTTTTCAAGATTTTTTCAAGCATGTGAAAAGAGCACTTCGGACGATTTTTTTCTTCGACTATAAATTGGGGCAATCCGCAATCACAGCTCAACAAATTAACCAGGTGTGGGGGCCCAATAGTGCTAGAGAAAGCACTGTGCGGCAATGGCTCAACAAATTTCGTTCTGGAGATTTCAGCCTTGAAGATGAACCTCATAGCGGTCGACCTAAAGCAATATCTGACGAGGAGGCTGACCCATCCCAAACAGTTCGAGAGATTGCAGAAAAGCTAGGCGTTGGCAAATCCACTGTTGCAGATGGTCTGAAACGCATTGGGAAGGTGAAAAAACTCGATAAGTGGGTGCAATTTGAGTGACCGGCAGAAATTGGCACGTCTCGCGGTTTCCTCTTCACTGCTTTTGCGCAACAGAAACGACCCGTTTTTGAACCGAATTGTCACCTGTGATGAAAAATGGGTCATGTATGATAACAGGAGACGTTCCGGACAGTGGTTGGATTTCGACGAACCACCGAGGTAATTTTCAAAGCCGAACCCTCACGAAAAAAAGATTCTGGTCACGGCTTGGTGGTCATCGGCTGGTGTGATCCACTATAACTTTTTATCACCAGGCCAAACCATCACAGCAGAACCCTACTGTGAAGGAATCGACGAAATGTACCGAAAATTTTGTCAGATGCAGCCAACACTTATCAAAAGAAAGGGTCCGATTCTTTTGCATGACAACGCCCGCCCACACGTTTCACAAATCACTATCCATAAATTGAACGAATTGGGGTTGAAGTTCTACCTCACCCACCATATTCTCCAGACCTTTCACCAACCGACTATCACCTTTTCAGACATTTTCAGAACTTCCTTGCTGAAAATACTTCATCAATCAGGACCAGGCAAAAAAGACCTTCGTGGATTTCGTGGATTCTCGACCACCCAGTTTTTTCTTTGATGGGATTTCTCGACTGCTGTCACATTGGCAAAAGTGTGCTGATTCGAATGGTGCTTATTTGGATTAAATCCGATGAGTGTTAAGAAAGTTATGATCGTTTAAAGTTAAACACTCAAAACCTGCAGAACTTTCCGGACAACCTAATACTTGTTCTCTAGAGAGTTGCATGCAGTTGTTGGTCCCATGAATTTGTCACTACACAAAACGTATTAATCGACTTCCTCTATAAACTCCGCGACGGAAATCGTAGTGATACCCACCACTGCTCGAGGGGGAGTCATTTATTACCTGAGTTGTGCATTTAAAGGCACAGTTCGCGACCGCAAATTGCGGGAAACGGAACTCAAATAGGCACAAAAAAGTGCTAAGTATCTGATTAGCGGAGAAAAGCAGCAGAAAAAGCAGTCCGAAATGTTATAGAGAAAGATAACATAGTGGCTACTAGCTAGTAGCTAGCAGCCGGTGAGGGTCGGCATGGGCCTAAGGGGTGTCCATGGGCCTAATTAGTCAGCTTCTAGCGGAGTTCTTGCCGTTTTTCACATTTTGAAAGTAGCGCAGCCTCAAAAATCGCCTTCCGGATCGTCCGACACATTTGAGAGGTCATAGCCTTATTTTATCGCGGAATGTGCCTTTAAGCAGAATTTTTCCAAGAACTGCGCGTTCCACAACTAGTTGTATTGAGCCCAAAGCGCCCTGCGTTCCAGGTATGTCGATTAAATGGATTCTGAAGATACAATGGTTACGATCGCAATCGACGTGAATGTCCAGTGCCCATTTACTCAACTTTTGCTCCGAAAAAGGGTCAGGTATTCATAGAGGACCAACATGCTCTCCATCATGGTCAAGCATCTGTTCAGGAATTCTCAACGGGAAGTCGTATTCGGCTCGATGGAAGGGGGGAGGGGTCGTATTCCGAGAAATCAGTGGTCAACAGACTGTGACGGTGTGTGCCGGGTAGAGGTTAGAAACGGAACTGTACGGCGGCTCTAACTCTGAAAAGCTTGTCTTATTGCGAAGGTGCTTTCACATGCCTGACTACAGGAAATGTGCCATCAGACTCAAAAAGCTGTTTCATGGACCACTATGACTTCGAGCTACTAGGAATGTGAAGGAGGTCGCTTGCGTGGCGCACATCACAGGCTGGGTCCATCAACTATAGACATTATGTAGGAGCTATGGGAAAGGAAATAGAGATACTCACTCCTACAGCCTGAACCCAACCTTCCAGTTCGCAGCACAGAGATTGAGCTGTAGCAGAATTCTAATGCCAGAAGAGCAAATCTAGCAATTTGCAATCAGAGTACAGCATCATCATGTGTGAAATGGTGGTGTCAGTACGACCGCCCCCCTCACCCCACTTCCTAAACACCTACCTACCACTTTCCTACCAGTTCTTCCGAAACTCCCCACATTTTCCACTTTTTCACCTAAAAGTTTTCCATCGAGTGGGGGGGGGGTCAGGAACCAACTAGTATTAGGCTGGCCCATAAGTAGTGGCGCTTTTTCTCACACACATTTTTATATGGAAAATGAGCAATCGTTCCCAATGTGTTCTACACTGTTTGATAGATAATTTTCCACTCTATGAAACCGCTTAGTGGCGCAGTTTATCGACGGGGGGGGGGGCATTTTGCTTTCCATAGATGTGTCGACCCATCTAGGTAGCGTTTTCTTGAGTTGACACGTTTTGGGATGGTGGCTAGACGATCCTGCTCCAGCTTTACAAGCGTTCACAAGTTTTACCAAAGTGAGATTTGCAAACCGGAACAAGGGAAGCAGTGATAGTACAAAATGCCCCCCCCCCGTCGATAAACAGCGCCGCTTAGTTGCCTTCATACTTTCACTGGTTTCTGTGGACTTTTATTTCTTTGAAATGGAGTGTCCGGTCGTCACAAAAGTGAGTTTTCGACAACAACTTTTTGCACTTTATCTCGGCTCCCGAACTGCAGAAGAAACTCGAAACTTGTAATATATGGTCAAAGAGAGATATGCGTCTTATGACAGCTTGAAGTTGGTTCAAGCGATTGAGAGGTGGAATTCGGACCTTGTAAATGTTCAGCGCACGGGGCGCCCTCTTGGGGGGCGGCTGCCTGCAAAACCCATCCACCAACTTTCGAACGTCTAACATCAACTGAGGAAGGTAGTTGATAATGAAAAGGAAGCATTCTATGACCTCTAACGATTCCTCAATCTTTGGCATGAATCTCCTTGAATAAGGTAATTCCGTAAGCTCTCAGTTGGACACAATAGGGCATTAGGTTCGATGCTTGTCTGTGAGGTCGAAACTGAAATCTTCGAATCGGGTAAAACACTGTAAGCAATCCTAAGAGACATAGCTCTTCAACCTATGTTTAGCAATTGGGCCTGTGCAGCTGGAGCCTTTCAATTGGAGATAAAAAGGGTAGCTGTCGAAAGTGCTCAATTTCGTCGATCTGACACTCCAGTTTGAGCACTTAAATATTAGTGGAAAGAGAAACTTCAAGAAAACCAAGAAGACTATCGTATAGGGCCAGGAATTCTCTGCAAAGCAGTATAAAATTCAATCACGAAACTTTTCATCTTTAGCGTGATAGACCGATGAGAAAAAAAACCCTATTCCTTACGGGCCGACCCAATATTTTCAACCATCGGAAAAAGTAGTTCTGTAGAATCTTGAAGGAGCTATCAACTAGGGAGGATATACACGGGCCAAAAAAAGTCACTTTGACCAAGTCACATATCAGCAAAGTTTTCGCCCCCAGACAGAGGATGTGGATACGAGTACCAGGGCGGAAGATACCCAAGATGTTCCTCTATAAGCAGGAGCTGGCCCTCGCCCATCACCTTCATGTACACCAAAATATGAAGTCATCTCCAGTCGCAGCCTGACTGGAGAAGACCTTGGAATTCATGTCACCTCCAAACAGCTGCGAAACTTCTAGTATGGAGTCACCCATGGATAGCTACCTGGAGACCAGTACTCTCAATCTGGAAGACCTCCAACATCGAGCAGCTCCGACAACGTCGCTACGGTCTAGGACATCATCTTCACCGTAGTCGCCGAGGCGCGAGTTGATGGTATGGACCGGGGTACCTGGAATGGGAAGACCGATATTTTCTTTGTAGACCCGGACTGAAGGTGAGCGCTGGCGGTTACATCAAGTAACTCGAGAAGAATATCCTCCCTACATGTGGTCGCCCGTACCTTCTTGGAGACCTTGTGCTGCTACAGGTTTGGGTGCCACCACATGGAATCGAAGGGTTTTGGAAAAACTCCCGCCTACTTCGAATGGAAGGGCGTTTCGTGCCTGAAGAAGATGCAGTATTGAAGTATGTCCCCTAACCTGAACCCACTCATTTACCCAGTTCGAGCGGAGTTCAATAGGGTGGTCTACGGTGGCGGAGAAATCGACTATCTCGCTGATCTCAGGCACCACATCGCGGTCGCGTGCCAGAATCTCTCGATGGCGCTCGTCCAGAAGGCTGTGGCGGAGTGTCATGATAGTATTGAATATGCTCTTTAATATGGTGGTGGAATCAGGGCACAGCATTCGATGGGGATTTTGGTCGAGCTCGTACGACCCCCCCCCCTTTTTGGGGGGTTCGGTACGACCCCCCCCCTTTTTTTGGTTTGGTTTTTTTCACACAAAAACACAAGCTTCAGACTTCAGCTTCATTGTAAAACAAAAACAACTATATACATGGGAAAAAAAACTAAAAACCACTATACAAAACCACTATATACAAAAACTACTAAATCAAAAAACAACTTCAGTGAATAGGACATAACGAAAAATAAACAAGAGGATCCCACCCTCCCTACCCGTTCCGCCACCGCCAACGAAGCCCTCCCTCCCGCCCGCAACGAAGCCCACCCTCCCGCCCGCCTTCCCGGCACCTTCACACGAAGGTGCCAGAGCTCGTTCCATCTTCTAACATCTGCGGGGTCGTAATGCGTCCCGACTCCAAGTGTTCAATTTTCCGCTTGTTCACGTCGACCTTTCTGGCAACAGTGTAATGAATTTTTATGTGGATCTGAAAATAATCATTTTGAGGAGAGACTAAGTGGTAGAAAATAGAGCTACGAAGCAATAACATACCAGGCAATAAATGGAGGCACCGAAAAGTGAAATAGTGATCAACAGTAGAAGTTCTCCCAGAAAAGATGCAATCAATTCGCGTAGGAATGTGTTATGGAATCCATCTGAACTGTCATTTAAAAACCTGTACAGCTCAGGCAACGTCATTCTGAAAAAAAAGAGTGAATAGTCCTCTCGAATAGTCTTCAACATAGCCCGGACAATTGCCGAAATATCTATATTTGTAACCTCAGAGGAGCATGCGCACACATCACAGGCTTTTGGACAGAGCTCACTGCTCCAAGGTTCCTCAAAATGATCGGCCAAATGCCTACGCCGGCACACACCAGGCTAGAACGTATTCCGTGTTCAAAACGACGAGTACATTTGACTGAACGATTTACTTACCGTGGTTGCATAACGGACCATTGCATACAGATTCCTAATACCGGTACGTTCTGTGCACACCATTGTGCTTTGCCGAAATACATCCGACAAGCGGAAATACAGAATGCAAACAGCTGGAAGTCCATCACTCGTGAATCCCATTAGCTTCACTGCTCTATTCGACTGCTACACATCGAGATTTGCTGCGCGCGAGCGGCAACGGTTGGGCGTGTCAGGCGGGATGAGTTTGGCGCGGTGCCAAACCCGTTCTCCACCAGTTGTTGAAGCGAGCAAGTGATATGACTGTATCATATCGTTCGTATTACTCGTTTTCTACCACTTTTTGTCGCATGCGCGCTTCAACAAAAGGCAGAGAACGGCTTTGACGGTGTGCACACTCATAGTGCCTGACACGCCGAACCGCCCGCAGCGAACTAAAGTACGAACGTGTTCGCCGTCTCCCCAAAACTCGACATATCATGGAAAAATGCCACAGTGCCGTATAGTGTTACCGGTGTTGGCTAGCTAAGTATAGACTGAGATGAAAGGTACATAGATCATGTAAGAAAACTAACCGAAAGCTACAGTAGCTACGATGACATTATACTTGCCGCTAACCCATTTCTCATGAACAGCTGTCCGTCGGGACGAGTCCATATCGGCATGGTAGAATGCTGCACGTATACCGGCTCCTCTAGAAAGGCATATCATGTACACTTGGCAGAAAATCAGACCACAGAGGCTCACACTAATAATCTGATCTGGCAATATTCCGAATACGACCACTCGTCGAAGGTTCAAGCACTCTTCAGTTTGGAATATTGCAAAGAAAGAAAAGAAAGTACCAACCGAAGCTGTGCTGCAACTTCTTCACAGTCCTTTCTTGAGAAACAGTATACAATACCCGATTGATTGGCAAACCTAGGAAAGTTTAGCTCCTCGCAATCACACAAACGTCAGAGTTATTGGATAAATTATAATACCTGGTTTTTATCAGTCGGGCGAGTTCAGCAGTGACATCGCCGTCTGGCTTTTGAACCACTTCATAGTGTAAATTAAGACGATTGAAACCGGCTTTGAAGACCACAGCATCTGGAATGGAAGAACTGAACAACTGACAAGTACCCAGAGCTAGCCGTTCATAACTTTTTCCTAGTTTTAGTGAGCGTTCAGGAATAGCTTCGAGTTGTTATTTATTGTTCCCTACGTGAATCTGAAAAAAATCGAGAGGAAATAAACACAACTCAAAGCTATTTTGAACGCTCACTAAAACTAGGAAAACTTATGAGCGCAAAGGAAGGGAAAAAGGAGAAAAAAAACAAACAGGAACAATAAACATGAACGATAAATAAATGGCATGTTGCCTAATCAAACTCGAAGAATCTCCAACGATTTGTTAAAACAAATGGAAATCCAGTTGTTGTGCGCAGGACCCCAGTGCACTTGATTTGAGGGGCAGAATTTCCGCAGAAATCGTACGGTAGCAGAGTTGGGTATGAATTGCAGCTTTGACTGGAGCAAACGGCTATTAGCCATGGAGCGAGAATTTTCAGCAAAGTAGGGTGTCTTTGAAGGACCATAACTTCCTCAAAAGCGGACCTGTGGGGAAGAGGAGAGCGTATTGGTAAATTAGAAGGTTTGATCTTCCTGAAAGTACTAAAATGTTCATGAAGGTCGCGAAAATCACAGAGAAATCTGCCATAGGGATTCGTTGGGGAGTGGTTTCAACCGAACAGGTTTGAATCAATATATTTTTTTTGTAACTCAACATTTCACAAATCTGAGAACGGATCCGAGCTTTGAAGATTTTCTCTTTCTAAAAACCTCTTGAACTGTTTCTGAAGCTCTCGGGATTCATGAGATCTCGCGATGGGGATTTCTTGGGGAACACTCCCAGCTGCGCGAAAAACCCGTTTCCTGTGTACCGTTTCAAGTGAGCGTGTTCGAATAGCCAGGAACGCATGTAGAACGTATCCTGTGGTGGAGCAGGAGCAGGATATGGTTCGTTTAGCGCCGATCACGCCAACTTTGGATGCGCCGCGCACTGAGGGCCGCGCAGAAGTGACGGTGCGCCGCGCACTGAGGTCCGCGCAGAGGTGATGGGATGGTGCAACTTGTGCGTAATGTCTGTCCACACTAGCAAATGTGTCTATAGAGCTGGGAAAAAGTCAGAACTCGCTCATATATGCGATGTAGTTTGAAGATTGGTCGTAAAGACTAATGCAAAAGCGCAGGATCTGTTCCTCTTCTTTTTTTATGTTCTTTTTTATGTTCTTTTCTTTTTTAATTTTTTATGACAATATCCACTGATGAATCTTTTATCTTGCAATAAAGTACAGCATCTGAATTGACAATTCTTTCCACATCACAGGCACAGGTGAATCTCATCTTCTGGACTTCCGTTCGCACAGGAGAGCCCAACGGTTGGCTAGTTGGCTGATTCTGAAATTTCATTATTCAAACTAATTCGTATTATTGACTGTCCTTTCTTCAAGTCATAAAGTTTTGCAAGTTCGTTACTGCGCAAGCTCTGTCTCACTCTCGCGATTTTGCCACAACGGCACTATTCGGCACTGTCTGCCCCACTCTTTACGACCCCCCCCCCTTTTACAATGTCCGTGAAGCGAGAAAAATCAACTATCAAAATAAATTTTTCCTCAGCCCAAATACGACCCCCCCCTCTCCTGGCGGCCAAATACGACCCCCCCCCATGGGGAATCCCCAACCGAAGCTGTGCCCTGGGTGGAATTGTCCGATAATAGTTTACTAAAGTGTACTTGCAGCGCCTCGAAAGTCAGTGGCAAAGTGACTTTTTTTTTTGCCCCCCCCCTGTATATCCAA